AAAAAAAAAAAAAAAAAAAAAAAAAAAAAAAAAAAAAAAAAAAAAAAAAAAAAAAAAAGAATTGGTTAAACTCTGCAAGATAAAAATATAATTTCATGCGTTAATTACTGCCATGCAGACAGATATAAATATTCCGGTTGAATGCGTCACTAATTTTGTCAGGCTATACATAAATATATGCTCGTACTGCTAGAAAAATCTATAATTATTGGATAACAAAGTTGATTAATGGTCCAAAAGTCATCAAAGTAATCGTAGAAGAGTATAATATAATGATGGATATGTCATATTGTAACTTGGATCGAGTGAACGTAATTTTATGAGGATTGTGTACCTGCCAAGGGAGTCGTCGGATCCGGCGGAGTCTTGGTCAAAAAGATGGGCTTCTAACATGTTGCCGGGATCCGAGTTTGTTTCCATTACGCACTGCCACCACACCACACATATTAACAGGCTTTTTTTAGTTAGTGCTCGCCACGAGCGTGGATCGAGTTTTTATTCACATTATGTGTATTATTTGCAACCAAGTAAATATCACTTGCGGGTATATATATATATTGTTACGTTGTTACATCGTGGGTTACGTACATTCTTTAGAATCCTGTTTTTTTTTTTTTCCGTTTCAAGTTAAAAACACAATTCAAGTCAAGGTTTTGAATAACAATTTCGAGTGTTACAATACATTTCCAACGAAAAATAAAAACAATAAAACAGCAGTGTTAATGACATTGTGAAGATTACAATGATAAAAGGATATAGTTCAGGTAACAAAGAAAACCTCCATCATTCGAGAGGATAAAAAAGATGGGTTGAAAATAGAACGGTAGCGAGACCAATTTAGATTTTCTTTGTTACTTTTTTACTTTTCATGGGATGACTTCACCTTCCACATAAAGTACGTAAGTTAGGAAAATTAATACCGAGTGTATACACATGTGACAAAGAAAAAATGTATGAGATATAGTATTAACTTACATTGAAAATGATAATTATCACGCCGGTTGTTAGAAAAAGATTATTCAATGTGAGCACGCACCAAAATCGCAACAACGTTATTAGTGAACAACATTGGTATACGTGTAAATTTTGTATAATCAACATGCCTCAAATATGTAATGTAAAATAATGAAACTTTGCCAAACGCATGCCAAGAGTCACACAGCTATTATGTTAATTGTTACTACCTTCCGAGAAAGTCGTCAACGTGCACCCCGGGAACGTTCGGATCCCAATCCCAAATAGTTAACTCGACTTCTTGCTTAATGACGCTACATATCAGAGTCTACGTGGTAGTATAGTGAGAGAAAAAAATAAATAAACAAGTTACAACCAAGTTATCTAGTTTCGAGTCTTGAATGCAGAATTTACATGATGAAAATGTAAATCCTCATTTTTCTCACGTACTGGAAAAAATTTTATCAGTCAAAACAATCTTAATTGGTAAAAAAAAAAAAAAAAAAAAAAAAAACTGTACACCAAAAAGCAGCAACCAATATGCTAGAAGATTCATGTAAAATACTTTTAACAGATCACAGGCATGCTAAGCAAACAGTAAAAATCGATTGTAAAATGTACAAACAATATACATGGTTTGATATTTTGTTGGATGTACGATTGTATGTTTTGTGATAAGAATAACGTGTTTCAAATATAACTGTGGATTAAAAAAAAAAAAAAAAAAAAATAATAATAATAATAAAAAGTGTAATTTTTGTTTACTGACTGTATGGTTTTAAGGAAAAAAAAAAAAAAATTACGAGTGTACTCTGAGTTATGAATGAAGATGTTGAACGAAGCGATGATAATATATCATACCTGCCAAGGCTTTCATTTTGCTTAGTATCGTCAAAGTCCCAGACATCGACCGCAAGCTGTTGAGCGATGGCCGACGAGACGACACACTGTATCAACGCACAACACAAGTAACAACAACACGATACATTCATACATACCAAGTTTTAGGGTGATTTATGAGAATTTTTCCCGAAAACAATAGAACGCTTTGTCAAATCGTACGATGATTATACCTCAGTGATTTTTATTAAGATGAAAAGTCGTATGAAAAAACCAAAATGAAATTTAAAAACAGTTTGAAAGTGTATTGTACCCTGTGTCATCAACAAGATGATATCATCCGGTTAACTTGTACTATATTACGTGTATAAACTGATCATGTATTTTGATTTCCTGTGTGTGATTATTTTTGTATAATCAAGCCGGTAACCTTCGATTGCACAGATAATAAATCTTACCACATTTTTAAAATCAAATCGGTACGAAGAATAGTTCAAAACTTGAACCTCATCAAGAAAAAAAAAAAAAAAAAGCACATGCAGAAAAACTTGCTGGGGTCATTTGGATGATGATAAAAAACATACCTCGCACCAGAAGTCCCATTTGGGATCTACGGAATTGTCTATGGTTTTGGTTCTGAATTCTTGAGCCCCTACCGTGACCACGGCATAGGGATCGGATTTTCCCTTACCCAGCATACCAATGTCTTTTTTCATGAGATGCTTCGCTTGTACAACGTGAATTCTCAGGACACCCTGAAATCGAGAACCAACGCGACGTATACGTTTCAATAAAACATCCAACGTGACAAATGGATTTTTTCACTACAAAAATACATCCTCTTACCTCTGGTTCCGGGGTTTTCAGTGATTCGGCAGAGACTTCGGCAGCTAATGGCACACTAAATTTATTCGGAAGAACGGCGAGTGCGGCTATTTGTTGGCAAATTATTTTTCTCAGCACATCGCTACAAATTAATTTATTAAAATTAATCACATCACACGAATTTTACGTTATTTTTACACAACAAACCATACACATGCTATATTATACCTGAATCCGGGGAGATCGAGCACATCGGCAATGCCGACCAGATTAAAATCTACTGTTGGACAGTTCAAAAAGAACACCTGCACGCCTCCCACGATTGGCACGACTGGTATAAGTGGTTTTAAGGTCACGCGCAGCTTACCTCTCAACTAATGTCAAATAAAAGTCTTTGTATTGAAAATCTGTGCGTATCATACGAAAGTTCAGCATTTGAAATACCTGAAAATCTTTGATTCCTGCCTTGTAGGTACCCATTGTAAATGTAACATCGCAATCTCCAGCGTACCTAAACAGTTGGCAAGCAAATACACGTGAGAATCGAATCGGTTAATTTTTCTTTAACATTTAAAAACACTTACATCACATCCATATCAAGCACCACTTCGTTTCTGGACGTATTCTTGTCGTAAGCTTTGACACCATTGATTTTTGGGGGCTGCAAGAAATGAGCGTTAACCAATTTCCATGGATTTTTCAAAATATTTCATTGCGCGTACGAGCGATTCCCCATAAAATAATCTACTTGAAGCATGGATTTTTTTTTCTCGGGAGGAAACCTCAATTATCGGTAATTTCATCGTAAGCTATACGTATGGGGCATGGCTTTAAAGTTCAGAAAGCTCCAAACTGTACGTTACTCATGAGTAATCGCTCGCACACTTGTGCATGCGTAGCCAATCGACTCACAATTCTACCCAAGACAATCCGGTCGAAGCGAAATTCTTTCCCCATTCCGGGGAACTTGACCTCGTAATCGGCCAGACATTCGGTGATTTTCTGCTGGATAACAGTTTTGCACAGATCCCGGGCGTAGTGGTTGACACTCGGCCACATTTTGTAAAGCATCTGAGGAGGAAAAAAAAAAAAAAAATCGGCAAATGATCGGACGATCGGTATACATACAAGTACTCACTTGGTTCAGCCACTCGGCTCTATCGTAATCCGGAAAGTAGACCCAAGTGGGCAACTCGTCGATTCTACTTTCGATGATGAGTTTTTCTTTCGACAACGCGGTAGCTTGGGCCGTCAGTCTCTTCAACTCCCCGTCCTTTTTCCTTTCACCCTTGAGCACGACGTACGCGATCGGGGCCACCAGCCAAGCCAAACTCCAGTTCATGTAGCCCATGCCCCATATGAGGCTGACGGTGGCTAGTTTCAGGGTGACCGACTTGGCTATCGAGCCGTAAGTCATGTACGGCCAAGTTTTCGGCGCCTCGATCTTTTCCCCGGCACTGGGATCGGTTTCCACGAGTCCCGAAACCAGTGACATCATGCACGCGCCGGCAGGCCAGGCTTTTGCCTTTGCATCTGCAGCCTCGGTGTTGGAATCACCCATGTTGCCTCTATTTTCCGGGTGCAATCACTCCTGCAAATTAAATTCCTTTTCCAACGAATGTATCGGTAAGTCACACCTTTTTTTCTTTTCAAACTAACTTATAAGTATACTCGCTTGGAGAAGACGGTGATTCCAAACTAAGTGATTCCAATTGAGCAACAACGGGTTTGTCGTTTCAAAAATTATCCCAATTAAAATCGAATTCATGGAGCGTGGATAACAAAAAACAAATTTCTTTGTTCGAATGATATTAGAAATTGGGAATAACCAGTCGTTACTGGCGGGGCCGTGATGTGAGAGAAATCGTTAGTCGATGGCTAGAGACATATATATATATACTCTTTCAAAACGCGATAAGAAATGCGTGTACTTTGTACTGAAGGTATGGCAACGAGTATGTATAATATACATAGGGAGTAGAGACACGTAAGTGTACGCTGGTGAAGTCACACGCATCATGTTTAATTTTAGCTTATGTCAAAATTAATGTTTATCCCACTTCCCCGAAGGAGTAGGTAGGAGCCGATGACGAGGAAGACTTGTCTGCCGGTCACCGGCGAGGAAGGCGCTTGCGGTACAATTGATGAAGCAATGGCATATTGCATACGCATTATCATGCCCGTGGGTTAAAAACTAGGAGATTTCTGGAATATAGCGCGCGTATATGGGTCACTTCGTGAGAACTGATAGTTACTCCACGTTTGAGCCGTTTTGAAACGCCACATTAATTATTTCACTTGTTTTAAATTGTTTTCTTTTCTTCCAAGTATGTATCTACTTATTCCGAGGTTAAATCGAAGAATTGTATTGCTTCAGGTGAAATGGAAAAATAATCTTACATGTCATTATCATAACGAGTTGAATTTTTTTAAATGTCACTTTTCGTGGTGTAAATGGCAAGACCCTGTATGTTGGAAAATCGATATCAATGTTATATTCTTCTGTCGGACTTTGGAATTGGCTTTTTTAGTATACTGCATTTTGTCATGTTATTAAAGCTTTCTTTTTGATTAAAAATTGAATTTTTTGAAAACAGGCCCAAAAGTTTAAAATTTCGGAAGTTCCGTTGCACCATCACCTACACGTATGATAAACATGTTAGTTATGAAAATCATCCACTATCTAAAAGTTCTTAAATATGTTATGTATCATTCTTTATTTTACGTTAAATATTATTTATGTATATTACTAGGCATGACACGAATATTCACCAATGACAAACGTACGTGTATTATAATATTTAAAAGCGTAAATTAAATATACTGTGCAGTGTAAAGAAAAGTATATACATTTATGTATATATATATTATGCAGAATCGAGACAGACTATCCAACAGCTTGAATTAAAGTATTGACTTTCATTTTGTCATACACATTATTGCAATATTAAAAAGATGAAAAAAAAAAAACAATAAATAAATAATTTAACGCAACTGGAAGCCTTAAACCAGTGTATACATAAATATATTTCGTAATATTTGAAAAATGATGTAAACAATTTATCTACATGAAGGAAGCTACACGGTTGGGGGAGAGGGGGTTGGTACAAAAAAAATCGAGGAAAAATCGTAAGGAGGAAGCGAGGGGTGCTTAGGGGTGCAATTAATAAAAAAAATGTTATTAAAAAAAATAAAACAATAATTTTTTTTTTATCGTGAAAGAGTTATGGAAAGTCAGTATGCAACAATATGTGAAAATTACGTAAAGGGTCAAGGGTTTAATTGACCGAATCAAACTATAAAATTTAATAAATTTTAGTTGATTTCAAATTTGTAATAAATTTATTATGATGCACGCGTTAAATTAATCGAAATTTCCATACGAGGGTGTACTTGTGATAAATAGTTTGAAATTACTCTCTTATCTATTTGAGAATAACACAAGCCTCCGAATTAAATCATCGTACGTATGTGTGTTGAAGCATCTTCTTTTTTTTTTTTAAGCTCATTATACCGATAGGTAAGAAATAACAGTAGTAATAAGACAATGAGTAAAAATACACCAATGACGCGATAAGAGAACGAGATTAAAAAGGTATTAGTACAATGTTGTTCTAGCGTATGCTATGTTTCCACCACACACATATGCTTTATGTTAGTTTTCACCGTGACGTCATCCTGTACTTATACTTATGTGTAATATATTCCCCATATAGGAACCTTGCGTTGTATCATGCGAGGCATATACATATAATATATGTTACAACATCGAGATGCGCAAGCTTGGCGAAAATTATTATTGTTGCAGGATATACCTACGCATACGTGGTACACACCTATGCAAATGTGTACAAAACACGTGGAATGACGAATTTTTATTTTCGCACTTTACGAGGGCGGGTATATACATAATTATATACCCATGCATTTTACGATAAAGCCGGTATTCGTTGTTGGTGTTTCGCAATGAAGTAAAAATAGAAAGTGGAGAAAAGAAAAAAAAAAAAAAGAAAAAGAAAAAAAGAGTTGTAATTTCGCATACTTCGTAATAATACAAATGATTCTGTGACGGCGTTAAAAAGGAATGCGCCTTACAGTAGGCATGTGGAGACCTTGACATCGCGATCATCAAGTGTATATAGTTTAAATAAAAAAGATACTTAATTCGATGTGCCACAAAAATAAAGCTCGAGTTTTTTTTGTATTGACGACGTAAAAATACCAGTGGTTGAGCTTAACGAGCTTTTAAGTGCAATATAATGTATCCATGATGTTCACACCTATATTTAACATCAATCCAATAGATGAATCTAATAAATCGGTGGAGTCGAGTGTCCGTGTTTTTACGCACAAGCAATTTAGAAGGACAGCAAAAATACTTACCAATCAAACAGCTTGACCGGTGTCTGTACTTATTTTGGCTACACTTATACTCGAGGGACTACAAAATCACTCAAAAGGCGCCCGCGCGTGTGCGTGTATATATATACAAGAGTCCATGCACGCACAGAGGCATATATATATTAGATGTGTTCCTATTTTTCCGTAGTCCGCATATAGCCAATGCAGCCGAGAGAGCTTGAAAAAAGCTTCGACTCGCAAAAAAGACCACAGCCCAAGATTTTCTCCTAATACTTGTACACGAGCCACGCGACTATCGCACCTTTTCGATTTTTCACTTATATTGAGTATGTGAGTAAGTACAGTGTACGGGGGATCGGTGAGCTTGTGCGTCAGCTGATGATGTTCCGGAACGACTGCCCTGCTCAGCTGCTATATAATATGTACTTGGCTGCGCGCCGGGCATATATATAGCGACGAATGGGTGGGATCGTTAATCGCATACGTTGAAATCTACGAAAAATATAAGTATCAGTTATCGGAACGATTTTTAAATCGGTGACGGGGTTTCGTGTATGTAAATTACTTACCGATCAACAGCACACCTTTTAGGTATAATTATGGATTTTCATTCTGGAAAAAGTTACGACTGCACAAGAAATACGTTGGCACGAAAAATTACTCGGTTTTGCTTGAAGATTATTTATTACCTACTCAACGCGAGACTAACGAGTTGGCAATGTACAAGAAGCCATTGAAGGTGTTTCGAATGAGCTTTAGTGGGAGCTTTGCAACAACATTTTAATATTCGAAGAAAAAAAAAAAGGGCGCGCTACTTGAGATTAATTTGACCAATCACTGAGTATAACATTGAAAATTTACAAGCAAAACCTCCTATGTCCATCATTTTTTATTTGCTACCACGTGTCGCGATTCCATGGCGCAAATAATCTCACGCCAAGTTGAAATTCAACCTGATAAAACCGCAATTTCATAATATAAAATAGTTTTTTTTTTCTTTTCTTCCTACAGTGTATCTTTACTCCGGTAGTATAAAAAAAAAAAACAATAATGTGTCGGAGAGGGAACCAAATTGGTCGGACGAAGCCCAAGACAATCTGCCGCGTGTATTGCCCAAATACTTTTTATTTCGTTATACATCCATGTTAATAATTTACTCAATCTCCCGTTTTTCGGAGATTTCGACGTATATAATATCGCGTATAGACGCAGACGTGCAATAATGTATACGTAAGATCGTCTTCCCTTTCCCACTTTTAGTTTCTTACTTTGTTTATTACTTTTTTTTTCTGGTACTATGCGAATATAGAAGGTGTCGCATCGGTGATGGTAACGATGGATTTTTAAAAATAATTTACTGTTCCTTTACGATAAATTGAACTCGCGTACTTTACACATGTAAAAGTAAAATAGTGGTGGAATTTTCACGCTACATCTTTTGCAAATTTATGGTCAATAGTATTTTATCATTATTTTTGTACATGTAATAGATTACTTACGAAACGAACAACGTAATACCTACTTTTTTTTCAATTTGAATAAGTTGAAGATAATCCCACCACTACTTTGGTCAGCGAACGCGATGCGTTTGACTGCAAAACCAGTGAAATTGACGAAATTGATTAATTTATTCATGAATAAGAGACAATTTTCCCTGAAGTTCATTCACACTTCGCGTACAAAGAATCGGCTCACTAATATTAATGCACAACAAAAAGATTTAAAGTTGAAATCTGTAAAGACTATATTACCCCATACCCATTTATCTGGAGATTAATTCAAGTTGTTAAAAATAATAGATGGCGAAAAGTATTATTTTCCATTGCACGCGTCAATGCGCATATCAATAGAGATAGATATACTCGTATCGGTGATGAAAAATCGTTTAACTTTTGTCGAAACTTTATAAGTATATTTAAAAAACAGCATATAAATGAATGTGGGTCAATACCGCGTCACATTCTGCATTTCTAATTAGGAAAATTCTTGACTTTACCAAATAAAAATGTAAAACGTGGTAAAAGTTCCAAAGTCACAAGTATTATCTAGACATTGTGGTTGTCCAAAATACTACGTGTCACACTTTTTTTAGTCGTACGTAGATCAGTAAGTACTTTTATTTATCGATTATGTGTATCTTATATGTACAAAAGTGTAAAGTTAAAGTAAATATGTGTAAAATTACATTGACAACGCGTCATTGAAGAAAAATACATAATTATTTTTTGTAGCCAAGAAAAACCGCTAGATGGCGCTAACCAGTTGAGAAACAAAATTTACCGTCACTAACTCATTTTTCTGACGTCAGTGATCACATATGTACATGACGTATATCTCGATCCTCTCTCTCTCCCCCGCGAGACTCTAAACTGCAGTGCAGTCACTGCTGATGCAGTCCAATCATTTTTAGTTCACGCAGTCGCTGATGACCAGATGACTGCAGAGCTGCAGAGGTGCGGAATTTTATACTCTTGTTTTCAAAGTGGATAAGTAATTGTCACTCGATAAGTACTTAATACTTGTGTACAAGACGATATTGCAAATAACCAAGTACAGCTGAGCGTCGAAGCATCGCCATGGGTTTGATTTGCTCGACGGCACAGGTGAGTTAGATGTCTTGTGTCTCGTTGATTTTAACGAATCTGGGGTTATATTTACAATCGGGTCGCCTACGTCTCCTTCGGGAGAAAATGTCTGACATGTCAGATTCAGATATGATATATCCATCGAGAAAGCTAACTGTTTACGTCTAAGTGGATTCACTCGAGCTAAAGATTACACTGCCATGGATGACTCGTTTCTTTTTAGATACTTTTTTTACAGACAAATCGTTCCTTTGTTGCTTCTATTGCTCGGAATTGTCGATATCCAATTTATTTGTTTTCAACATATGCAAATAAATAACCGTTAATATTACAATTCGCACATTTGTAACAATTAATTTGTTTATATTGCACGAGAGTTGCCAACTGTCGCGATTCGCACTTTTGCGACTTTTACTTCTTTGTTCTCGTATGTAGGTGATTGACTTACGAGTATTGATTACTTTTAGTTGCTTATACATCCATATCCCTTTATTTTTGACTTCAATACACAAAAGTTAGTAAAAAAGAAAATTCTCGTCACGTGTGCATTCTTTTGTAACAATTTTTTTTATATGAAATTTGTTAAGCTTTGAAATTACGATTTACTATGTATCAGTAACTTACATGCACCTTTGTGAGTCATAAATTTCTCTCGTATGAATATAAATTGAAATGTAAAAGTTATTATTTCTGAATTTCTAACAAAAGCATTAATAAATTGACATGTTTTATTTTTAGACTGCATGCCTTTGTGGCAGTGCAGCATGCAGTTTTTGCTGTACTCAATGCCCCTCATGCCGCAACAGTACGAGCACTCGTATAGCATATGCCCTGATGCTGATGTTGAGCACGATTCTTGCCTGCATCGCATTGGCGCCTGGTCTTAAAGATCTATTCAAAAAGGTAAGAGAATAATTTCATTATTTTACAATCTTAATAAATATTGATTAAATCATAACGTTTATTGATTGCACAATTGATTGAACCAAACATTTTCAGCTACCATTTTGTACAAATAGCACTGCAAATGCTTTGATACCGTCTCAAGTTACATTAGAGTGTGATGCTGCTGCAGGATATTTGGCTGTATACAGAATATGCTTTGCCACAGCAGCTTTCTTTTTCCTTATGTCTGCTATTATGATAGGTGTGAAATCTTCAAAGGATGCAAGAGCTGGTATACAAAATGGGTAAGTTTTTCACTTATAGTGCGTATTGTATACATCAAAACACACAAATTTTATCACGCATTTTATAATTACAGTTTTTGGGCCATCAAGTACCTTATACTCTTTGTTGGGATCATTGGAGCCTTCTTCATCCCAGGTGGATCGTTTGGTTCAGTCTGGATGTACTTTGGGATGATTGGTGGCTTTTTGTTCATACTGATTCAGCTTATACTCATCATTGACTTTGCTCACAATTGGGCTGATTCATGGGTTGAAAATTACGAAGAAACAGAATCTAGAGGATGGTATGCAGCTCTGCTTGGTGCTACTTTCTTCAATTATATCTTGTCCATTATTGGAGTGGTTCTTTTGTATACTTACTTCACAGCAGTAAGTACATTAATGTTTTTCTTACACATAGTCTGCGCAAATACAGTCATAATAATGAATATTTATTTTTTATACTCTTATCAGTCTGGTGATTGTGGATTAAACAAGTTCTTTATCATCTTCAATTTCCTTTTGTGCATTCTCATGAGTTCAGTGTCAATTTTACCAAAAATTCAAGAACATCAACCTCGCAGTGGCTTGCTGCAATCTTCTGTTTTGACTCTTTACATTATTTACCTGACATGGAGTTCCATCTCAAACAGTCCACGTAAATATGACTTCAGTTTTCATTGAAATCCCTATATCAAAAACATGTTAATAATTCATCTTTAAAAATCAATGCAGACAAAGAATGTGTCTCTGGGCCCTGGTCAAATGCGTCTGATACCACTGTCCCTGATTCAAAGAATGAAGCCGTCTTTGATAAAGAGAGTATCATTGGTCTAATTATTTGGTTCAGTTGCGTTTTATACAGCTCCCTCCGTACTGCCTCAAAGTCAAATAGAATCACAATGACGGAACAAGTACTTGTCAAAGACAACGGAGCTGGTAAATATTAACTCCTTTAAACATTTTTCAAATTGCATGCTTATACATTTATTTGATCAAACCTGAACAGATATACTTTTTGTTTGTAAGTCGTTTTTTTGGTTCTTCAGTTTGATACCGAATTCTCTACCTAATAATTAATAGTGTTGAAACATAAAAACATGAAGATTTTGCATTTTTTGATGTCATAAGCTCTTCAAAAGGAAATGTATACATAATATGTGATATTTGTTTTACATAACATCTTTTTAATGCGTTCCTCCCTAAAGTAGTAAATATTGTAATACTCCAAATGTTTATTATCTTGAAACATAGAATATTTATCCAATTGCACAATTTTGGAATGCATCATTATTACCTGTCAGTTTTTACATACCGTTCTAATAATTTTTCTAACACTAATGGACACTGCTTTTTTCGTACAGTGCGCAACATAAATGACCAGTCTCTTATCTACAACGAAGGTAGGCACACATTACACCTACTTGATGAAAAATCTCCACAAATTGTTGTCCCCTGTTTTGTTCCTTTATTTTTTTTCGTACCTTATTATTGATCGCATCATCACATTAACATTAGATTTGTTAGCTAAAGAACTATTGCATATGCCATTAGTTTAGTTAATCCTAATTACTTTAGTAAACAGCCAAGTCATTTTAATCATCTTACGCTTAGAGTTTAGTGTGTGCCTGCTTCTGTTGATTTTGTTTTCGTTTCTAAGCATACTCTTGCTACGTGATCGCCCTCACGAAAACATTTCTTCCCACTGGAGGGCGATGTTCATTTCACTGCATCCCCTTTTTTGGATGTGTAGTTTTCTTTTTGCCGAACATACTTAGATTATGTTTCAGTAGAAGGCCGTAGTGGTGACGTTGAAGACGGCGGCTCCAAAGTCTGGGATAACGAAGAAGAATCACTCGCCTACAACTGGAGTTTCTTCCACTTCATGTTTGCTCTTGCCACTATGTATGTCATGATGACGCTCACCAATTGGTACCAGTAAGTACTTAATTTTTTTGTTGCTACCATTTGCTATATTTTTTATTTGATTTCTTAAAAAATGGGAAGATATCGGAGTATTGATTTCAAGGTAGATTATATGTGAGTTGAAAAAAAAAGTTGTATTACATAGAAAAAATCATTCTACAAGACTGAGTTTAGGTTTAATTCAAAGAATATTTATTTCTCGTTAAGATAGCTTCAGAATTCAAACGGTTAACAGTAGAAGATAATGCGTGGTTTGTGACTTGTTACACTTCATTTTTAAAATTAAAATGAATGGAGGGCTATTTTCATTTATTAATTAGATTTATTCTTTCGAATTTTTATTAAACTTTTTTCTGCAGGCCAAATGAGGACACCACATGGAAGTCTATCAATGCTAACACTGCCTCAATGTGGGTTAAAGCCATTTCGGCATGGACATGTATAGGACTGTACATTTGGTCATTAATTGCACCAGCTGTTTTGACTAATCGTGATTTTTCGTAAATTAATAATCTTTTTACTACCCTTTTTTTTGGTATATTTCTAAACATTTGTTCTTATCGCGTTAAGTTACCTTAAACTTTCTGTTTTTAATATAAAAAAAAAAAAAAAAAAAAAAGATAAGAAAAAAAAACAAGTTTTTTTTCGTTACCTATATTCTTTACTGAAATCACTATAAATAACAATGAATCTTTTATGCTCGATACTCTTTCATTTAAGTATAAAAATATAAGCGTATCATATGCAGCATAACAGACATATGTATTTGTCTAATAGCGTTGCTCTTATATATATGTTAGACTTGAAATGTCGGTCAAAATAAATGATTCGAAACTGACAAAAGGCCATTGATTGATGGCCGATTTTAAATAAAATCTGGAAAAAAAGTTCACTGGAATGCATTTAAAAGTAGATGTCAAAGCCATATTATTCTTTGCTCCTTATGCACCACTGGCTTTGACGTTATTGGTGTATTAAACGCTTATAAAAACAATAGATTGTGATCAGTGAAAAAAGTTTTGTATAATAAGTGTCTACGTAATATATATACATTAAAGAACGTTTAACAGATCGAGCCTTGGATTCAGATGTTAGTCATAGATGTAATTTCCATACTTTCTAGTAGAAGCTTTTACAAGCAACCCAACTAAAATAACATGTAAAATGTGTATTTGAATTTTTTTTATTTACAATACTGTTGTAAAAATAAACTTGAGTTTTTTCTGTCACAACGTCATTTTGAACTAAACTTCATATGATTTTTTTTTGTTTTTCTTTATCTTGATTAATTTAACAGTTCATTGATCTCAAATTATATTCAGATAGTAGATGTAAAAAATAAATGATAGACATAAAAAATTGGAATATTTTATGTATAATTAAATTGAGGATTACCATTTTGTAAAAACAGTGTAGTCAGAGAGTATCTGATGAATATTATATAATATGTTTTAAGTAAACATTTGTTTGTCTTTGCAAAGTTAACACAACTGTACAATAAACAACACGTCTTTGCAAAGATTCGAGAGCTGCAATTCTTCCTCGTCTATGTGATATAAGCGAAAAAAAAAAGTAAATAGTGAGTGTTTATTTGATTCTTGTCATGACCCTGTAACGTTTATTATTGGAAAATAAAAATGATAAAAAAATTGCAACACTAACTTTTTCTTTTTTATTCTTTCTCGTAACTAACTTTATTTCTTAACNAAAAAAAAAAAAAAAAAAAAGAATCGCATAGACTCACCCAACGACGATGGTCTCGAGTGGCAGGGAACCGGTCCTCCGTACTTGGCACATGTCCGCGTTGACCTTGACCGTGAATTTGAGGCCGGTCTCCTCGGTGTGCTCGGCCAGCACATGCGCAATAAACACGTCGACGTCTCGGGGAGTGCAGGAATCTTGACAGCATTGTGAGATTTTCATACAATGTTTTTATAAAAATGTAAATTGATAAGAAATACAATTATTTACAGTAAAAAATTTAAGATACCTATAGCTTACTGACCCTTTAAAATTTATAAATATGCTTATGACTTTCATATACATTGTATACGAGGGCAAGCAACCGCACTTGTCGAGCTTTCACTTTTGGTAAAAATATAGAAGACGGTGCAATAATCACGTGCAATCACATCAAATTCTATTTTAACTTTGTTTGTCACGATTGAGGAGCAAAAATCAATGCTCAGTTAAGAAAATATGTTTCAACCTTGCGTTTCTCAGCTTATAAAAAATATACTCAACTTTTACCAAAAACCTCGCAATGGTTCGAATTTATTTACATGACCGACTGTCGTGATCCAAAAGCGCACGCAGACCTAAATTGAAAATACATTGATCATCTCCACAGTCCCTTTAAACTTCACGAACCACCGTATATACCAGGGAGTCTTGCATTAAAACATGATTTCACAACATTAACGTATGTAAAAGTAGTTCGATCACACCGTCGCCATTTCAGTCATCGTCGAGCCTTTCATCGTTACGCCCTAGTCGATTTTTTTCCCCTCCACAGTCCGTCTCGTCGTCGTCGTGCTTTGCGAAACCAAGGCTCGCTGTCGCTTCAAATAGTAGTTCCTGAGATTTTGGAAGGGCGTCTCGAACAGGAGCGTCAGGACGACCGCTGTCAGTATGATCCAAATGAACTCCTTCACGTTGAACTGGGGAAAAGAAAAAACAAAAAATTAATTTAATTTCTCCAACCGAGAAAATCGCCAAAAAAAGGTCAAAAGTCGCGCACCATCGTCGTGAGGAAGCCGATGTGTTCGGCGCACCTAGTTGCCCCGACGTTGAAGAAAAACACGGGAAACTGCGTGAGGTAAACGGCGTAGCTCAGTCTCGTCGTGACGAGGAATCCCCGCCAGGCAAACGCCTTGCTCAGCCAGCCTGTGACCCCGAATTTTGAACTTTCATTCCGATGCGGAGACGAGCGAATCAAGGAAAAAGAGAAAATAATGTCGTTACCGTCGGTGTTGCCGGTGTGCGCCAGAAATGTCACCCAAACGAAAATGCCGCACCAGCCGATCGGCGCGAAAGCGTTGTACGTCGCCGCGTGCACCGGATTGTACACGTAATCCATCGAGCCCATACGAGCGGGTCCAAAGAAGGCACCGATCGACATCATTATACAAAGGAACCATCCCACCTTCAGTATTTTCTGCACCAACAAAAAAGAGAATTTTCGTCACGCCCATTCGATACCGATCACAGACTAAATGATACTCACATCGTTGATTTTTTCATTTTTCGGCCACTTTCTCAACACGTAGCCCGCAAGGACACCTATTACGTACACCGTCAGCCTGTGACTCGGCAAAATGTACGACAAGTTGGCGGTGTCGAAAAGCTGGCGTATCCTGTACGTAACAAAAGCACAATTTTTTTTATTGTTTTTGCTGCTAAACTATTGTACATAGATAACAACCCGACGTTGTAGTCACTCACGAAGTGCCGAAGAATATGTAATTGTTGAGGCGGTAATGATAGGTGACGTAGAACCTGAGCGCGGTCGAGGCAACGGCGAGGATAGCCAGCAGGGGGATACCGATCTTGGGCCTCTTGTAGATCGCGAGCACCAGCAGCGGCGACAGGAAAAACAGCTGCGTGTCGATGCCCACGTGGTGCGTATGCGTGAGGCACTGAAAAATAAATTGATGGATGAAAAAAAAAAAGGAGAGGAGAAAAGGCTCGTTACCATTTTCTCGAATCCAAAGTAGTTGTGGATGAACAAAAAGTTTCGCCACCACGTCTTTTTGCAGATGTCCGCGTGATGCGTGACCACGAGGTTCCACTGGGGCCCGGAGCCGATGTACGGCATCACGAAGGTGCAAAACAAAACGAGAGCCCCCAGTGTCGGCACTATCCTGTTGAAGGACAAGGTATATATGTACATATGTATATCAAACGTGCGCGATGTGCATGTATATATATATATATACACTTTACCTGAACAGTCTGCTGAGATACTCGTTGGTCACGTCCAACTTGCCGGTCCTGTTGAGCTTTCCAACGAACGAGTAAGCAGTGAGTAGTCCCGAGAGCATGATGAAGGGATCGGTATAGAGACTGGCAGCTCGGCCGATCACCGTCCACGGCTTGCCGATGTACTGGAAATTAAAGTGGACCCGACAAATAACGACCGACTCGGAGCGCCCCGCAAAGTCCCCAAACTCCACCGAATACGTACCTCGGTCATATCGGTACGGTTGACGTAAGGGTTGAAAAATATCGCCAAGCTCTTGTGAGCCAGCACGAGCATGAACGCGTTGAGGGCGCGTATGCCGTGCAAGGTGGCGATGTCACTTTCGTCCCTGTCGAGCGACACGAGCTTCAAAACGTTGCGCTTCAGGGAAAAGGCCAGCGCGGCTTGGCCGATCGGCACTCCGTAGTGGTCGCACAACCCCGAGATTACCGATAGCGCTGCTATACCCACGAAGAACAGCCTGTGCGAGAAATGTTGTTTTTTTTTTTTTTTTTTTTTCCCTTTGGAGAAATAGAAGAGAAACGCCAACGAGATTTCGACGCGGCGACTTCGAGTTTTCCATCGATTTTTCTTACTTCCATGGTTAATTGTATGTACCTTTGATGTTCGACGGTTCCGTTACGAAGTAACGGTTTCCGATGGCTTTGCCGCCATGTACGCCGTACACATATTTATATTCGTAAAATCACCATAAAGTCGCTTATATAGTGTGTTAAGAACATATACTTTTTCTTTTTTTCCTTCCTCCCCCCCCCACACACACACACACACGAAAGGTGTCGCTGAAAACCCGATTTGGGATATACTTGAAATTCGAATGATGTATATTCTCACCCGATGCGGTTTTAACGTCACAAAAAAGCGCTTTTTTCATAATACGATCGTTTTTCTCATCTCGTGTGTGTCGATGCCACGGCTGAACCGCCAAGTAGACAACGAGCCGGTTCGCGTTGTTTATACATATTCGGGGAACAATTCTCCGGAACTATACACGCTCAAGGACGATCGATGAAAAAAACAACAAAAAATTTCAAATTTTACCGATAGCCCGTTCATTTAGAAGATAAACATCAGGCGCTCTACCGATGTACCTGGACACTGTGACGAAAGAGTCAAGACAAAACTTGAACACCATAAAACGTCCCGTGAAAGCTCGAGAATCCAAACTAATGCATGGATTGGATGTAGGACGATGGTCAGTCGTTAAAAAAAAAAAAAAAAAAAAAAAAAAAAAAAGAATCGCATAGACTCACCCAACGACGATGGTCTCGAGTGGCAGGGAACCGGTCCTCCGTACTTGGCACATGTCCGCGTTGACCTTGACCGTGAATTTGAGGCCGGTCTCCTCGGTGTGCTCGGCCAGCACATGCCTGAGGGACACCTCGACGTCTCGGGGAGTGCAGGCCGAGGGCGCGCACACCGCCCAATTAATTGTGCCGAAACGCGGCACCCGATGCCCCGGCTGCGAAGAATTTCGGCCTCGTATTAGTGTCGTTGGAACATAATCGCATGCTGAGGATTTCAATAGAGCTGCGTCAGTGAGACTTTTTTTTTTCATCATTTCCGATTTCCTCTCGTTCCTCCTCTTGGTCTTCGGTATGGTTTGACAAGTGTACGCATGGCTCGCGGTAACAATGGGATCGACGATTCGTGGGAACTGCCAAGGGGGCTCCCGCGCCGGTGGATTGGGAAATACGTTTGTAGGGAAAAAGTGGTTAATGGGAACACCAGATGACCGTTAGCCTTGATGCTTGCAATTGGAGCGATCGATTGCAATACCGTCATACAATGCTAATTCGATCGGTAAGATTACACTTTTCGATTACAATTGTATGCATGGTTTTTTTTTCTCCATTAGCTTTTTCATGATCTTTGATGACGTTCATCAGTTAAAACTAGCTACAAACTAGACCAATGGGTTTCAATCCTGTTTAATCGTAAGCTTCGTCTGCTCTGACGTATATCTATTTTCTACTGTATCTTTGCATTATTTTTCTCTTGTCACGAATCGAAAATTTTCTATGCTTTTGCATTGGGGATGAAACATTGATTTTACAGCCTTTGTATACATTTAATTTCTTTCACAACATATGTATGATGAACACGGATGCAAGCAGGTTTCAGTTTCAAAGGCGATCGATCGTTTGCAAAAGAGTACAGCTTCGAAATTTTGGCCACGTACGTGTCTTTTTTAAAATCTTCGTTCAGCGTGAAATTCGTGTGTTTGTAGTGAAAGTCGAGAGCTGATTATCCATTCCTCGTTAGGACGAATTAACGCGTCTCGTTTCTCGCAACCGAATGACCCGGATTTGGAAATTCGCTCATTTGTACGTAAGCGCCGATTCTTTTGTCGATCACGGATGCTAATGCTCGATCGGATTTGCACCTCGATTACCGTTTCCCGGAAACGAGTGGCGCTCAATTTGCCATTTAAAATCCTCAAACAATCGTACACACGGATTTCATTTTCAAACGCCCCGTACCATATCGCAACCGCATCCGATCTCCTCTAATCGGTTGTAAAATCCCTCCTCGATCGCCAAAACCACGACTGTACGGTCCTTTCTCGGCTAAAAATCCACCAGCTTTTCAGACCTTCCTTTGTTCATCTCAATTTATTCGCAAAATTCCCCGGCTTACGCGTCCTCCTCTCATCCCGATCTACGATCGGTATCGCGTGTACCTGTTTCCAACACAACCGATTACCGATTCCGCGCGCATCCCCGCGCGTAAGTTTATAAGTGTACGTCGACGCACGACCTTCGTCCGCCGCCGTTTCTTTTTCTTTGCTAACGCTGCTACTTACCCTGCATTTGAGATTCGCTCGCTCGGATTGTTCTCGACCGAAAGCTCTTGTATCATTCCCTCTCTCGCACTCATTCTTCGGGGCGATTTTAATTGGTAATCGACCGATCGGATGTACACCGCGTACATTGTTCATCTATTGCGCTGTGCATCAACCGCTAATGACGCTCGCGAGTACCTGACTCATAAATATTATACTTTTTTTTTATTCAGAGGCTCTTACGATCCTTGATCGGTTCGACAACTGTTTTTGTTTGTTTTATTATGTGAAGCTCTAAGAGGACATCCGAGGATGCCGATTAGAAAAGGGTTGATCGGCATACGAACAAACTAAACTCACAAGAGAAATGAATTTATGCGACGCAAAAAGTTTTACGTACATCGAAGGGTGTTGATTGTATCAGAAATTAAATTTTACTCAGTGAAGGCTCTTTGAGAACGAAAAAAAAAAAAAGTCACCAAACTGATCGAGCAAACCTGAGCATCAGCCGATTCGTACATATTATTTTCAAAGCTTGGGCGAATTGTGATTATAGAAACACAAAAAGAAGAAAATAGCAAAGACTCACGTCGCTAATGTTGCTGCGAAAGGCGTAGTGCGAGTGCAGCAATCGATGCAGGTGCCTGAGATCGGTACGCGACTGATCGACGTCAAGCTGCAGGTAGGCAAGGCAGTACTGACCGCGGATGCCGTCGGTACCCTCGGCTCCCAGGCACTCATCGAAGTCGCCCAGTTGGTTGACGTTGCCGTTCAGAAGACCCGATGGTACCTTCGCCGTTGCATCGTACACTGGAAGTTATCATTACTATTATTAAAATCGGCTCATTTTTGGTAGCAAAAAAACGCTCTTGTTTTTTATTGTCACGTGTAAAAACTATTCAGAACTTTTTTTCGGGAGGAAAGAAAAGGGTCATTTGTTTTTATTGGCCCGTTTGAAAAAAAATGCTTGATTTATCCGTCCTCGAGGAGACACGTGTGAATTGTGATAAAACGCCACCGACAGTCGTAATGCATTTTTTTTTTTTTTTTCTTTTTTACGTTCGTGATGCAACGCGTGTATATATATTCAAATGAGAAATTAATTTGTGTCGATGAAACAACGTGTAGGTATACATATATTTTACAGCCAAGTCGATAGAAATTTAGATGCGCGCAATAAAACGCGTTTCGCAACAGCAAAGTGTGTCCTTACAATAGAGAGAGAGAGAGAGAGAGAATCACGCAATGTGTCAATAGCCGATCGATTGATCGTTCGTCACCGGTCTCCCGAAAAAAAAAAAGAATCACGAGAATATCGAAAAAAAAAAAAAAAAAAAATCGTCAATATACAGGAGAAATCGGGAATGAATAATTCCATGTGCCGGCGTCGACGACGGGCACGTGCTGCCGGCCGAGAGGACGCGACGCATACGCAAAGCCACATTTTGGGGAGTGGCGCGTGTGACAACGATCTCCCGAAAATTCACACACACGCATAGCCGCTCGAAGGATTGCGCAAGTGTCGTTAGAAACTGGTATGTACATGATATGGCGTGTAAGAAAAAAAACTTTTCGTCACGATGATGCATCGGCGCGGATCATTAATATTGAAGGCGGCCTCGCCGTTTTCCCTTTGCACAACGTATAGGCCCCAAAAGCGCGTCGATGCATTTCCGCGCGAAACTCCAGCGCGACGGTATTTTGGGATACACCATTCATAATTAGAAATGAAAAATCGTGAGCCAATCGTTGTTTGAATGAATATTTTTTCAACTTCACCTGGAAATCGTTACTAAAAAAAAAAAAAAAAATCTTTTGAACAAGAATATTATTTTTTTATCAATGCTTCGTCACTTGTGACATCTCTTTTTTGTTAAATTCAAATCATTCTGCTCAACAACAAAGAAAAAAAAAAATACTCACTTTTAAGGGCCCACAGAGCGAACTTGTTAAGTTCCTTGCGGTAAGTCTCGGCCTGCAGTTTACATTCCGCGCTGACTGGACCTGCAGCCGGATCGAAAGGTGGCACGATTTGAAAAAGATTTCGTGCCTCGTGATCAATCTTTTCGCTATGGATGTCTAGGAAAAAAAAAAAAAAAATGACAATCAAATAATCGTTAAATTTATACGATCAATCGATTATTCAAAAAAATCGACAAAATACTTTTATGTAAATGTGCTCCAAAATCTGTTGACCCTTCTGTCATTAGTACTCTCGTATCATGCAATTTATTTTTCGAATTTTATTTAATTTCGGTATCATTATAATAATTGCTTTATTTATTTAAATTGTATTTTCCATAATGTCTACTTTTAGTATTATCTATTGCTTATTGGACAACAATTCAGCCAATTAAAATTTTTTCGATATTTTGCGGATTTAAGCCGAGATCAATGAATTGTCACGGCGAATAGTTTCAAAATTCCGCCAAGAAATCTGTAAGGTTTGGTGAGTATATAAAAATCGATGAGGCCTTGTGCTAATGGATGTTCTTACGAACACGTTCGGTAATGACATTTGCACGATTCAAGGTGATTTGGCGCATTTACCCTTACCTTAGGCAATTACACAAAATTAGATTTACACCAAATAGGTACTCAGTCTTTGATTTTATTCAACATAACCATTTTTTTCTTTACGTTACACACTTGAAAATTCAAAATTCTCACCAAAAAGGCCTGCTTTTTTGAACATGACAACCAAATGACTAGTTTTTACGAAAAAAAAAAAATTATTTTCTTGAGTCACACACATGGCCTTTCGATATTTTTACTCTCTAAAAGGTTCTTTTGAGAAAGTACGGCTTTACTTTCATGTTTGGACAATGATAACGAACGCCTTCAACGCATAAGTATTCCATTTTTTTCTAAATACCACTTATGCTTGTTTTCGGATTTCAAGGATGAATATTGCTTGTTCAGCAAAAATAGATAAAATGTTTGCTTTTGAGTGCTTACCCAATGCTAATAATGTTTGCAATGCCAATCTGTTTTTTCTCATGGAATGTTTGTACTGCAGCTTAAAGGGAAGACAAAGCCTGCATATCGATCGATCGATTCTTTTAAATAGGCGACTTTTCACCTTCCTCATTGTGTCGCCCTTTTTTTGTTTAATACAAGCTCACGTAACTTTCACGTAGATTAAGAAAAGTAATCAATTGTGTCACTAAGAAAACTTAACTTACAGTTACATAAAATTTAAGTATGATTATATCGATAAGTTTGATTTTTAAGTTTAAAAAAACTAGTAACATGAATTATTTTTAATTCATGAATAATATTATTATTTAATTGCAAATTTTTGTAGTCAAAAACATGAATTACGGACGCGTTTTAAAAGTGAATATTTCACATCAGTCTATGTAATAAAATGGTAGTTTTATACGATATGGTAGTTGAAAGTAAAATAATTTTTTAATTTGTAGTAAATATATAACATTAATATATATTGTATATATATTATAATATATATGTACATATGTATATCAAACGTGCGCGATGTGCATGTATATATATATATATACACTTTACCTGAACAGTCTGCTGAGATACTCGTTGGTCACGTCCAACTTGCCGGTCCTGTTGAGCTTTCCAACGAACGAGTAAGCAGTGAGTAGTCCCGAGAGCATGATGAAGGGATCGGTATAGAGACTGGCAGCTCGGCCGATCACCGTCCACGGCTTGCCGATGTACTGGAAATTAAAGTGGACCCGACAAATAACGACCGACTCGGAGCGCCCCGCAAAGTCCCCAAACTCCACCGAATACGTACCTCGGTCATATCGGTACGGTTGACGTAAGGGTTGAAAAATATCGCCAAGCTCTTGTGAGCCAGCACGAGCATGAACGCGTTGAGGGCGCGTATGCCGTGCAAGGTGGCGATGTCACTTTCGTCCCTGTCGAGCGACACGAGCTTCAAAACGTTGCGCTTCAGGGAAAAGGCCAGCGCGGCTTGGCCGATCGGCACTCCGTAGTGGTCGCACAACCCCGAGATTACCGATAGCGCTGCTATACCCACGAAGAACAGCCTGTGCGAGAAATGTTGTTTTTTTTTTTTTTTTTTTTTTTTTTTTTTTTTTTTTTTTTTTTTNTTTTTTTTTTTTTAATAACAGACTCATAATAAAAGAATAATATTTTAGTTAGATAGAAGTTAATCAAAATTGTAAAGAAAAGAATGAAAATTTTTTTCAACTAAAAAATTTTAGGAATAGATAAATATCACGCTAGCGTTGTATCTTTTTTTTTTTTTTTATCAAAGTACTCTATCAGAATAAAAAATGGGATTTACTTCATGAAACTTAAAAGTTTCGACAGTTGTTGATGACTTACTAACCCAATAATGACCCAAAGGACCTTGTATGAATTTTAAATAAAAAAAAAAAATATCCATCACTTTTTAGAATTGCCAAAAATTTTTTTCAACGCTTCCACCTTACTTAAGCGCACAATTCACTTACACAATAAAGTATTATCATACCTTGGTGCTTTATGTACCAAAATAATTTTAATACGTTGACAGAACCATAAGCTTCTACGATCGTTCGCAACGAATGCAGCCTTTTATATACAATCATTCCAACAACTTCGGAGCTCAACCATCGATAAAAACAGGTCAAAGAGCGCTGGCCCCTTCATCCGTCACGGTGGCTCCTGCTTCTCCGTCGCAAAATAGTTTCTCTATTGATGATCGCCCGATAACCCGCGCTGCATCGCAACCCATTCGTCTTCAGCCGGACGCAAGATTAATAACATACCCCCGTGGAAATTAATGTCATCCCCTTTCAATCTTTTTTTTTTATTTTATTTATTTATTTTTTTTTTTCGTTTCTCTATGCATCACTTATTTATATCTGTACCGCCCTAATGTGTCGCACTTTCCATTTAGAGCACTACGGTTTCGGTTGGAGGTGAAAATCTCGTTTACACACGAGTAAATTTGTCTTTATTACGGAGATTTGATTGCACGCTGCGTATCAAGGAGCGTTACGGGGAGTCGTGTTGCGTTGATTGATTATTTCTCGAGTAAGAGGGGGATGTAGTTGCTGAATGTACAAATGAGTAGGTGTATATCAATGATAATTTTTATGCTTAATTTGATTTATTGCAAAGTAATGACTAAAACAGATTTTTCATCTTTAGATTGCAGAGGTGATTGAAATTCGCAGGCTCTACTACTGTGTGATTTTTTTGGTAGTTTTCGAGATTTCTACGACTGATGGGTCATGAAAATAAAATAAAATTTTTGTCAAGTTTAACACATTAATAATCCATATACGTAAACTTGGGCTCAATTATTTTATTCATCATCAAATATTTTAAAACAAAATTTTTTTTTATTATATAATCAAACGTTTTTCACGACTATTTTTGATGCAGTATTAAAAACAAATTTTCCGACAATAATAGTGGTATATGTACTTTAAAAGGAGAATTTGTACAAATGTAATGTTGAAACACTGCTCTTAAGTACTAAATCCTTGTTTCGTTACTAAAAATTTTTTACTCCAAAAGAATTTCGAGTATTTAAAAAAATAAGCGTGCCCATACATTTATCTACGTGAGAAACAATGCTTCATCTTCCTTTTGTTTGTTTTTTGTGTTAAAAAGATACTATAGCCTTTACTTTTTATGCAATCTACAAAAAGGTAACTGTTTATTGCATACTTCGAGAAAAAGACATATTAAATTGAATATTTTTTATAGTTTGTTACCACAAAATCTATGAAAAAAAAAAATTCCCAGTTTAACATAAATTGCAGGAAATCTTTTATCCTTGATGCGGTAACCAGTTAATTATTTTAAATTCTTTGCGGATGTAAGTTTATTGTCTTAACTGCGATACGCTAAGCGATTAGTCATGTAAATACATTTCACTCTTGATTTTATTAAAATAAAAGATCAGCGAGTCAGGAGGCGTTTCGCAATCCTTTCATTAGTCGATAGTCACAAATAAATCAACCCTCTCATTATTAAAAAAAAATTAAGTAATACGAGAATATGTAAAAAAACGATTGCGTAAAATTTAACACTGTACCGAAAAAAAGTGCCAGGAAAAATACCAGGAAATCGCGTAAAGACACAAACCCAGTCATCGTATAGTTATTTCCAATCGCCATTACGATTTCCGGAGTTTATGTAGATACGGACATAGATAGAAAAACAAGTCAAGTAGGCGCAAAAATTTCCAACAAAAGAGTCACGTTAATGGGAAAACCAATATTGGCGATCGATGTAAATGATCACGCAAGCCTCGATCTCGAAACCAAAGAAGATGCTAGATTTGGCGCGCGTGTGCTATTCAATTGACTGTAAACTTTTCGCGTCTTTTTCCGTTTTTGAAATTAAAGCTGGTCACTTGCAACAGGTCAATTTTTTTTTATTGCTATATGCAATCACTTTCAATAAATGCATTCGGTTCCAGGTGATTTGACTCTAATGGATGCTGATTTCTAATTACAATACAACTGGACATTTAAATTGGGCACAAATACTTTGAAATAAACTTTTTTCTAAGCGCAAAGCAGTACTTTTTCTGCAAAATATTTTTTTCACTAGTATTTTATAACGAGTAATGAAAAAAAAAAGTTTCCAGCCCAAAGAATACTCAAAACTTTTAAATATATTTTAAAGCAAAGTGTTTGAAAAGAATAGCCTTGCCGAAGGCCAATAGAATACTCATAATATGAGCAAATGCTTGTAAAATTCTCTAGATGGTTGTTTTATTTTCTTAAATCGCCATGAATCAACACGCAGTAAATCTGATACACCTATTTGCCGATCCGAAATGGCTTTTAGATTGATGAATCAAGCAGACACAAGCTTTAAACGTATACGACGTTGGAGTATCCAAATTAACTATACTTGAAAGAGTAAAAAAAAAAATATATATTATATACACATAGAAAAGGAAAGTACTATATTTGCTGCGCGCAGAGTATCAATGAGCAAAAAGATACATAACCGAAATAAAAGTTCGGAGGAAGGAAAAGAGCTCGACGGACTCGCGGATTTTAATAAGCATCCGGTATGCCGCCAACGCCGCTTTACGGTTCTTTACGAGCTGCCACCATTCGCTCTTGCCGATCTATTTTTCGGGCGCGCGAAATCACTCCGTTAGAATTTCGTTGGCTCTCGGATCATTGTTATGTCACAGCTCGAAAGTACAAGTGAGTATATACACGTGTCCTCCTTTACGGCTCACTTTTACCACATGCGCGCAAAATCGCAATCCAACCGATCTTTGCTTGTGCATACACACGCAATCACAATGAATAAACAAGACCAATGCGTGAAAAACTAGCGATTTTTTCATTTATAATTAATGCGTTGCATTGCACTCACCATAGTAGGGATTGCTGGACTGGCCAGCGCCGATTCTCGAGGTATCGGTAAAGAGCGAGTCGTAGCGCTGGGCGACGCTGTCGATCAGCTCGACGAAGGTGAAATTACCTGGCGCGCTTTTGTTCGGGTTGAGCGCGCGAAGGATTTCCTCCTCCTGGATGATGCCGCTGGTTGTGAGGCCGCCTCGTAATACGTCGACCGGTTGACCGGTATGGCCGATCTGCAGTATCCCGAGGAGAAGCAGAGCTATCGCTCCTGGAAACGAGGGCATCTTTGGCTAGGGTCAGCTACGTTTCTGTGGAAATGGGGAAAAGGCTGATTCGCCCGATTTTTCGATTTTCGTTTGGGATTCGCATTGGATATATTATTTTTTATTTTTTATTTTAATGCTAGTATTCATCGCTGATGGATGGCTCGTTACTTAGCACTCGATCGTTGAATTTTTTAATTTGTAAATTTAAAATTTATTGGAGGTACAGTTGACGAGTAATAAATGAATTAGCGAGGAATTGCTAATAAAAAAGAAAGTTTTTAGAAAAACTGAGGAATCAATAAAAGTAGTTGTAAATGATAAAAAAAAAAAAGGTGTTTAATTTTGAAACCAAGTGAAATTAAAAAGCAAATATCATAGACGTTTCCAAATCGCGCGTGGCTGCGGCGCCTTTTGGTCATACGCGTGCAGTCGCTAAAACATTTATTGGTCCAGCATAATTTTTATTTACTCTCTGAAGAATACACAACTCAGTGACGAGACGATGAATTGTGCGTAATTCTACTTTTGTTTCATCAAATATTACAACACTTTTGCATTTTTTAGAATTATATACATATTTTTTTTTTTTAACATTGAAATGAGACATTATAACTAATAAATTAAAAACTAAAATATTCCAGTTTATTGTGTTGATAATTTTAAAAATTAAAAAATTTGCAGCCTAATATTCGATAAAACAATTATAAGCTGTAAATAAACTTTTCAACTCATTTTTTCGAAAAATTATTTGATAGAATTAAAAAAGTATTATTATAACATTTGAATTTAATATAAATTAAACAATATTGACCATTTTCGGAATTTTGTACTTATATGTGTTAAAATTTTCAATTTTTTAAATAGTTACACCGCTATACTGCAATTATTTAATTAATTCATGCATTTGTTCAGAATCATCATTAATTATTATTTTACTACAAATAATTGCGTGAAAAAAACAAAAAAACAAACAAAACTACTTTGTAACGAAAATTCTTAACAAAAAAAAAATCATGGTTTGCAACAAAAACACCCAAAAGTAAAAGTGAATGTGTCAACGGCCGTAAATCTTGGGCGAAACAGCTGAGAATGCAAACGAAAGACAACAACACTGTAAAAGTGAGAACAAAACACCAATTTACCTGGACGAAAAAAGCGGTCCTCGATGGCTCGAAACTCGATGTGTCTTTGACGCGCACAGAAAAAAAAAAAAAAAAAAAAAAAAAAAAAAAACAGCTTCACAAACTGGACAAGTCGACAACTCGCGACACTATTAGTCCCCCGGAGCCACACCCCGATATCAACAACATAGGCTCGAGGGCAACAATCCGATGCTCGCTCGACATCGGACTCGCCTCAAAAACCCAAAGCGCGCTTTTCTTCGGCAAAGAAGCGCGTGTGCTCGCGCTCGCCTATTACAACCGACTGCCCATTACCGTACGTACACACACCGCCGTACCTTCGCTCCCACGGCGAGAGAGCGATTCGCGGTCCTCGAATATGCCCGAATAGAACCGGCCCCGCCGATTTGTCGCTCGCTCCTACCTGTATACACCTCATGCCCCTTTTCGCTCAATCGTCTCGTCTCCACCAATGACTCATATGCTCCTTCCCCTTTGGTTCATCTGTTTTTCGCAGGGATTTTTTTTTTTTTTCAACCAAGACCACTATTTGTTGCTTGTCGTTATAGAGACCGAGTGAGGTTTGGACTCTATACATGTTTAAACACCTGCCAACACATTCGCATGGATCCAACAGAGATTTATGCCCATTGGCCACTGGAAGCTCGCTGTTTTCAAGGAGATCGGAGTTTTTCGATGCCGATTACGTCTGAAAGACAATAATAATAATAATAATAACTTTTGCTGCGAAAATCCATTGCAAACAATATGTTGAAACCTGTACTTGGTCAACCCGGTGTAGTCCATGCGTTTAGGATTATCGACTACGCGAAAACCCATGTATATACTCTCAGACGACGACTTAGTAACGCACTTGTCTTCGAGTTTCGGATGAATTTTCTTATATTCATCCGCGTTCCATCCCAAAGTGTTTTGTAATGCGTAAACAGCCTATTGGAATTCACCGTATTTCTAATGAGCTCTTCGATGTCCTTGAACTCCGCACATAACGAAACCTTCGTCATCATCAGCGTTTTGTACATTAAAAATAATCATTGCGTCGCTAACTGCTGTATCGTAAAATTCCAAATATTTCGAGGGAACGTACATACGTGACTCATAAATGACTTTATCGCCATCAATCACCAATCATCATAAGTTCACTCGTTATCGTCTACCTTTGCTTACCGGTGCTAATCACTCGCTTTGTCACGTTTTTCCCATCATTGCCGATTACTGCTGATCACCAGTGCTTGTCACCGAACGGTTATACAAATATACATGTTGAGTTTTAAATAGCTCAGACATTTGCACTTACAAGCTGATTAAGACCTTCGATAGCGACGCGTGTGGTGCTACAGCTGGACAAGCCTAGTTTTGAAATACCTTGTATAGTTCGCGATGAGCTGGTTGAAGTAGGACTGTTGGCCTCTCGAGCCATCCTATCGACGGAGATTGAGATTTCGTCGTACTTACATGTATGCTTCGGCCTTCCGTAGTTCGTAAATCACATAAAATACCCAATGAGCAAGCCGTGCTGAGGAAGGTACGTTCTTTTTTTTTTTTCTCACTCAAAAGTTCGTATTCGTGGAGCCAATGAACTCGAGAAAATCAAAAATTCTCTTTTTTCTCCATATATTCAATCGAGCCTCGGATACTTACTTCATTGTGGACATCTCCTCTCTGTATAGTATGTTCAGCCAAACTGAGCCTTCAAAATACGTCTTCTCGCAAGCACTGACACGTATAGCTGTATATATAGTTTAAAACCAATTCTGATTACGGCAAAAATAATATACGTATATACCATTACGTAGCTAATGATTCTTTTATAGTGATCCAGCGGACAAACGTTATTGGTACTACTGTTCAGTTCAGTCTATGAACAAACATTATTTTTTAGCCTTTTCGGTCATGGTCCCTTTTTTTGATGAGCATACGTTTTCTCCATACTTGAAGATTTACTGTTTTCTAAGAGCTCGTTTGTAACGATTCAATGGCCATCAGATATACATTTACATTTTTATCATAGCTCGAGTTCTTAAGTAGTCATCTAGAATTAATTAATAAATCACTTTTAACAGCTACTTTTTTTTTTTTTTTTTTCAAGTTTAACGCGCGTGAGAACTGTACTTCCTCGTAAGTAAAATTAACCCTGATTTCTGTATTCCGAAAATTTTTCTTTATTCAAGACAAATTTGAAAATTTTGTTTACATTTTTGTGTATTACATGTTTACGAAAAAATGCGTCTTGCACTTGTCGCCTCATCGATAAAGATGTGATTGATTCTTAATAAATGAATCTGTATCTTAACAAGACCCATTACTATTTTTATTTAATAGCACTAAGCCAATATCTTTGAATAAAAAAACAACTCCTGGATGATTGTGTAAAATTGTTTGTTTCTCGATTAAAGCATCTTCATACAAAATAGAAGATATCAATGATTGGTACAGCTAATGTTTCAACGTTAGACCGAAATATTTAAGTTCACCTTGCACAGAGTGACGCAAGCGTTCAATCGCGTAAACTCGGGGTAACCATCATTGAAATTCAATAACGTCAAAGGTATACGATTTTGGCTGCATATTAACTATACATTTTGAATTCGAGCACCGCTTGGGAATAGTTTCAGCTCGGCGGTAAAATAAAATCTTTAAACTGTGTTTGTGCGCACCTGCGCGTGTATGCGTATAGACGCAAGGGAAAAAAAAATACTACTCATCTCGACCAGTTGATCGAAGAAACTCAAGGTCTGGCTTTCGGGTTTCGAGTCACGATCTCCTGTGACGTCATAATTTACGTGCGTCGATCACGGGAAATCATTAGATCTCTTTTGCACGGTACATACAACTGCCTATTCAACAACGTAACGGTAGGAAAAGCAAAAAGTGCATTACTTTTGTTTTATAGAATGATTTTTTTTTCTTTTATTTAACGTAAAAAAATACTAGATAATATATAATCGTCGGAACAGCCAAAGTTGGATAGTACGATGCATATATGAGCATCATTAGCATAAAATATGAATAAATTTATGAGACAGTGGGTACTGGTGCTTTGAAAAAAAAAAAAAAAAAAAAAAACTATTGACTGTTAATAGTACCTATCTCAATGCTCAATGCCATCTTAATTTTCCAGATGATTAAATTAAAAACTTTTTTCGTGACAAAATTGTAAACACAGACTTTGGAGTACGCGTATAACTTTAACGATACCAAACACTTTTATCCGCTGTGATATTGAACATTTAAAATGGATTGAATAAGCAAAAAAATGTTACGTTAACGTACAAAGTCCTGAAGTTTCAGTATCTCCTTTGTTAAGCTCCTTAGAAAATTCTAATAGCTCGGTGGCGCCAAAAATAATTTAACAATAAAAAATCTGTTCGAACGCACGGTATACAATCGTCGAATCCTTTGTACATCGGATTGATGATTAGTTTTTTTAACCATACATCGGTGTTAACATTGTACGTGACGGCAGAGTTAATTTTCTCGTACACCACAAGCAGTTTTGGAACCACAGTTTCACCGTTGCTCCAGCCAAGCTGTAACTGTCCATCAAAAATACAACTAACGCATGCGGAACTTGAACCACGCGGTCTCTGCCCATAATTGAACTTTCCTAACAGCCGAGCACACACGTGAGGACGGTGTGGATAAACAATGTCCGAAAAAAAGTGACAATGGGACATATTTTTCGAAAACGGGCTCGAGAAATCGCGCCGATTCCAAACTGTCCCGCAAACATTGCTGCGGTTCGGGTCACTCCCTCTCTTGGCTCGGGTTCTTCTTCTTCTTACTCGAGCGTAAGCGTATGTGAGATATAAGTACGCGCGGACCCACTCGAGAAATCGTCGCACTCTCGCCTCGAGGAATTGCGCAAGGGTTAAAGCAAGGCGTCGGCGATGAACCGAGACCAGCCCGTCCGTACATAAACATACAATTATGTACTCATACCTTTCGTGCGTACGCGCGTATATATGATCCCTCCCCCTACTCCATACGCGCCTTTTCGGTAAGTAGTATGCATGTATACGACGTTTCGAAACACGACTGTGACGACGCCTCGAGGTGAACATTATATTGTCTCCTTTTTTTCTTTTTACGTGTTCGAACTACTTGTGTGTGTAAGTAGGCATCCTTAAAAAATGTATATTTTTTCTTTGTCTTCAATCTAGAATATGTCTTTGGGAATAATCGCGCAGATGCTCATTCGTTATGGCGCGGGTGTGTAGTACCGAGAGCTTTGAAATTGCGTGAAATTGGGGTAACATGACTGCAGTTGTGTTGGTTAAAACTTTCTTCGATTGGCAATGGGGTTGAACGTAATATATCCGAAGGGACGTATATATACGTGTTTCCGGGTGGGTCGGCTTTCCTCGAGCCTCGAATGCTCCTTGGGAAATCGGATACCCAATCTCGAATGATGTTGAGAAACGTTTATCTCCTTTTTACGTGGATACTCTTTTCCTACAACGCTTTCCAGGGTATTCGAGTTCCTGATGGGAACAGCTAGAAATTCAATTGGTAAAAATTCGTGTGACATTCATTACAAAAAATGAATGGTTGTTTGACGCGGCCGGTACTTCATTATAAATTTAATATAATTTTACTTGTAATTAAAAATGAGAGAAATGTTCATCAATGGTTAATTAAAACATTCTGTGCGTACGTGCGAGCTGACGTCACAACATTGTATTTGAGCTACCTCTCGCGGTGTGTGTATTCACGGGATACGTGCCCAGAATCCGGTTCGAAGTTTATTCAATTGACCGAAACCGAAATTTCTTGTCACTGGCGTTGAAACGCGTTTACTTGCTTTCGTGTGTTGCTTCTGATGCTACTGTCGTTGCTACCAATACTGCTAATGTCTTACTGTATCCTTAAAAGAAGATTTATTTCGAATGAAGCCTTCCATGTATGATATTATTGATCGTTGGTACGAGATTTTTTATTTCCGGGTGGTACAAAATAATTAATCGATGAAATGTAGTGTTTGTAATCCCCTAAAAACATTAGTCACCAAATGAACCTTGTTCGCAAAACCCGTCAAATCTGGAGTGCTAACAAATGTGAGTCTAACAGCTC